CTACTACTACTAATACTACTACTACTACTACTACTACTACTACTACTACCTACTACCTACTACCTACTACCTACTACCTACTACTACCTACTACGACCTACCTACCTACCTACCTACCGACCTACCTACCTACCCACCTACCTACCTACCTACCTACCTACTACCTACTACCTACTACCTGCTACCTGCTACCTACTACCTACTACCTACTACTACTACCACTACTACTACTACTACTACTACTACTACGACTACTACTACTACTACTACTGCTACGACTACGACTACTACTACTACTACCTACTACCTACTACATACTACCTACTACCTACCACCTACTACCTACTACCTACTACTACTACTACTACTACTACTACTACTACTGCTGCTGCTGCTACCTACTACCTGCTACCTACTACCTACTACTACTACTACTACTACTACTACTACTACTACCTACTACCTTCTACCTGCTACCTGCTACCCACTACTACTACTACTACTACTACTACTACTACGACTGCTACTACTACTACTACTACCACTACTTACTCACCTAGGACCCAACCTGTCGTCAGCTGACTACACTACTCACACTACTGCTACTACTACTACTACTAACCTCCTACCTGCTTCCTACTACTACTACCTCTACTACTACTACTACTACTACTACTACTATACACCTACTACACGACTACTACTACTACTACTACTACTACCTACTAACTACTACTATTACTATTACTACTACTACTACATACTACTACCTACCTACTATACCACGACCTTCTACTACCTACTACTACTAACCTGCTGCTTACTACCTACCTACACTAATACTACCACCACGACTAACCTACTCCCTACTACCCTACTACACCTACTACCTACTACTACTAGTGCTACACTACTACTTATACTACTACTACTACTACTACTACGACTATACTCCGTACTACCTACCTACTACCCTACACCTACTACCTACTACCTACTACCTACTACTACTACTACTACTACTACTACTACTAATAATACTACTACTACTACTACTACCTACTACTACATACTACCTACCACCTACTACCAACTACCCACTACCTACTACCTACTACCTACTAGTACTACTACTACTACTCGTACTATTATTACTACTACTACTACTACTATTACTACTACTACTACTACTACTACTACTACTACCTACTACCTACTACCTACTACCTACTACCTACCACTTACCACCTACCACCTACCACCTACTACCTACTACCTACTACCTACCTACTACTACTACTACTACTACTACTACTACTACTACTGCTACTGCTACTACTACTACGATCTACTACCTACCATCTACCACCTAAGACCTACCACCTACTACCTACCACATACTACCTACTACTACTACTACTACTACCACTACTACTACTACTACCACTACTACTACTGTTACTACTACTACTACTACTACTACTACGACTACTACTACTACTACCACTACCTACTACCCACTACCTACTACCTACTATCTACTACCTACTACCTACTACTACTACTACTACTATTCTTACCATTACTACTACTGCTACTACTACTACGACTACGACTACGACTACTACGACCACTACTACTTCTACCTACTACCTCCTACCTACTACCCACCACCTACTACCTACTACTACTACTTCTACCACTACTACTACTACTACCTATACCTACTACCTACTACCTACTACCTACTACCTACTACCTACTACATACCACTACTACCTACTACCTACTACCTACTGCCTACTACTACTACTACTACTACTACTGCTACTATTACCTAGTACCTGCTACCTACTACCTGCTACCTGCTACCTGCTACCTACTACTACCACCACTACTACTACTACTACTACTACTACTACTACTACTACTATTACTACTACTACTACTACTACTAGTACTACTACTACTACTACGACCTACTACCTACTACATACTACATACTACCTACTACCATACAACAACAACTACTACTACTATACTACACCTACTACCTACTAACTACTACATAACTTAATCCGTAACTACCTCTACCTACTGCCTAATCCCTACTACGTACTACCTCTACTACACTACTCACTACTACAACTACTACTACGACCTACTACAACTACACTACTACTACATCAACTATTAAATCAACTTTTTACGACACTACTAACTACCACTACTACTAACCTACTACCTACTAACCTACTACCTACAACCTCTACCTTCTACTACTACTGCTACTACTACTAAACTAATTACTAACTACTACTACTCCTACTACAACTACTACAACTTTTTACTACTACTACTACCTACTACTACACTACTACACTACTGCAGCTACTACTACTAACAACTACTAATACTACCTACCTACCTACCTACCCTACCCTACATACTACCTACTACCTACTACCTACTACCTACTACCAAACTACCTACTAACCCTACTACTAACTACAGCTACTACTACTAAACTACTACTACTACCTACTAACTACACAACACCTACTTCCGAAACCATACCTACTACCTACTACATACTACCTATTACCCACAACCCACCACTACTACTACTACTACCAATACTTACTACTACAATACTACCAACAACTACTACTATACTACTACTAACTACTACTACTACTACTACTACTACAACTACTACCTACTACTACTACTACTACCTACTACCTACTACCTGCTACCTGCTACCTACTACCTACTACCTACTACCTACTACCTACTACCACCACTACTACTACTACTACTACTAGTACTACCACCTACTACCTACTACCTACTACCTACAACCTACTATCTGCTACCTACTACCTACTACCTACTACCTACTACTACTGCTACTTCTACTACTCCTACTACTATTACTACTACTACTACTACTACTACCACCTACTACCTACTACCTACAACCTACAACCTACTATCTGCTACCTACTACCTACTACCTACTACCTACTACCTGCTACCTACTACTACTACTAATACTACTACTACTACTACTACTTCGACTACTACGGCTACTACTACTATTGCTACTACTACTACTACGACTACTACTACTACTACTACTACTACTACTACTACTACTACCTACTACCTACTACCTACTACCTACTACCTA